AATGAGGCAACCATCTTCTTACTGTAGGGGCCATGTAGATTCAGAATGACTTGGAGGTCAATCTCCTCAACTGGATTTTTCCTGCTCTTCTATCTGTGTGTGTGTGTGTGTGTGTGTGTGTGTGTGTGTGTGCGCGCGCGCGCGAGCTGGGGATCGAACTCACGACTTTGCATTTGCCAAGCAGGTATTTACATCGCCGCTGAGCTAAACCTCCGGCTATCTTTTCTTTAAAATTGTTGTAAATCATGCACAAATACCACCTAGAGGCACATCCACACATTCAGTATACTTTTATTCTCTCTCTTTCTCTCTTGAATTTTGTTCTGTACTTGAACTACTGAAAAGTCTTTTGATATAATCTAAAATTTCAAGGCCATGCCATTTATAACATATAATAGGTTTACAATTATATTAAGAATTAGTGATTTTTTATTCAATATCTCCTTCAGCAGAGATATTCTTTGAATATCTCTCCTTTTTGTATTAAGGTAGTCATGAATTGTCTCATAAATCTCATAGAGGCAATATCTATCAGTTATTACTCTGAATTGGTTTACTCTCCTCCAGTTCTGATTCATTAATTAACTTCCAACTCATTGTGTTAAACTACTGGAGGGTTTTTCTTTCTACAACTCACTGTAACAATTCTTAATTTGTTTATGTATGTACTGGTTATATTTTGATTTAATTTGTGCCGTGAAACCATACAAGAAAATTATTTTTAAAATTCTGACTATAATTTTGTTGAATTTAGGCACTGAGATTATCTGACAGCAGGTTCCATAATTTCCTTTTGGGAAATCAGGCCATAATTTATAATCACAAATGTTCCAAAAACTTCTCATATTTAATTATATTACAAAGAGTGTTAACAGTGGTGTTGATAACACATCTGAGAATTATAATATCTTCAGTTACTGTTTAGATAGCCTTCATTACCACGTGAAAGGACTAATCATCATAGGGAAAATAAAACTTCATGTCCACTCAGAGAGATTTCAGATAGGCCAAAGAGTTAAACTAGCATGCAATCAATTAGCAGGAGAAAATTATGTACAAGGGAACCTCAAGAAGAAAATAAAGACTCAAGTGCTTATGTACTTGGTTAAATAAAGATAACCTTTTGGAAAAGTACTAAACCTATGGAGAGAAAAGGGGTAGGTAAGTCATTTTAATAGAGTATATTTGTATAGAATTATCTGAGCATCCACTCCTCGTGTCTGACAGACATCTTTTCCACAGTCGATTAATCTCCTGCTCACGGGATAAAGGTGGGAAGATCAGTGTAGCCTTACTGCACCTATTATTTTTCAAAAGCTCAAAGTAAATCCTTATGTTAAAGTGGCATATTTTGATGTAGCACATTTTCCCCCCTTTCACCAACTTAACGAGAACCTACAAGATCACAGATTTCTTGATGAATCTCATCATTCTGGATATGAACTTTAACCTCGGATACTCAGAAACATGATCAGCCAGCAAATTAAGAACAGCTCCAAAAGAACCAGCTAACCACAAACCAATTACAGAAGATGATCTGTAAAATCTGTACTTTATATCTCCAAGATCATCAAACATGGACAGAGAAGAAATAATTTCAGACCACTGAATATAGTCAGTAAGCAAAAAAAAGGAGGTTCTATAAGAAAATTTGGAATTCAATTTAAAGTATCCAGTAAAGTTTAAAACAGATCTGAAAAATTTTATCTCATCAGACACTGCCTTGTGCCGTTTGAAACATTAATAAGGCTGAGTTGATGTATTAAAAAGTCTCTTTGGGCCATTGTTACTTGGTATTGACTCAATTGTGTTCTCCCTCAGTTAGTATATATACATATTAATGTCCTAACCACCAATATAGCTGTATTTGGATATAGGACTTTTAGGAATTAAGGTTAAATGAAGCCATATGGGTGATTTTTCCATCCAACAAGATGAGTGTCTTTCAAAAAGACAAAATGTGAAAAAATATAATCTCTGCCTCCCACTCCGTCTTCTCCCTCTTCCTCCTCTGTCTTCCTCTCCTCTCTCTCCCTTTGTTTTTCTCTCTATCTCTTTATTTTTCTCTCATCCTTTCTCCCCTCTACCTTTTCACTCTGGCTCTTCCCTCCCCCACTCTCTTTTTGTGTACAAAAGAGAAGCTGTATAAAGACATAGCTATAAGTAAACTGTTTGCTAGCCTAGCTGAGTATTCTCACCAGAATCCAACCTGGGGACACCAACATATTGTACTTCCCACCTCTATACCTGTTAGAAAATCATTTTTGTCTTTCAAGTCACACAACCTGTAGCACGTGTTATGTAGACTCAGATTATTTAATATAATATTACTATTTAAGATTCAGAAGTAATTGCAGATTCTAACTATATTAAGCCATTGATTTATAAGATGTTTTAATTCTTTCAAATTCTATTCAGAAAGCTGGCAATCATTTTTTTTTTCAGTAGTAGGATATGAGACCCAGGCGTTCAACCTGAGTTATTTCAGCAGGCTTTTAATATTTTTATTCTCAGACAGAGTCTCGCTGAGTTAATCTGTTGCTTAACCTGCTGGCCCAGCCTCCCAGAGTTCAGGGATTACAGCTGTGCACCATCATACCCTGCAAAACCTGACAATCATTGCCTTAAACTCCTACCTTCCCTTTCATATCAGGCTATGGACCTCTGTGGCCCTTAACACTGACAGCTAATACCTCAGTGGATGTAGAATCACTCACCAAAATATCAGAAATGGCAGTTTAATGAATAAGTGTTATACAACTTATGCACATTTTTGTTTTTTCTGGAGCCACACAGCTAGACTATTTTCACATTTTTTTCTTGCAGTTAAAAATAACATGAGACTGCAACATAAGCAAAAATAATAAGTATAACTTCTAAAGCTACAACATTCTCCCATACAGAGTCTCCTACCTTTTCTTCCTCCCTCAAATGGTGACAAACTCCAGAGCAACACAGAAAACCAGATATTTAAGATTCAGGCCACAAAACAGAATGATGTTTTATCCCCATATCGTTATTTGGAGAATTTTTGACTTACTAAATTATACACATTGAACTGATACATACACAAGAAGTAAAATTTTTGTGTTACACCATTGCCTAATAAGCTTCTCTGGTGCAGGAACTAGTGTTATCTAATACAGGAAGTGAGACTGGAAATGGGCGCTGCTGAACTGAAATATGAAAATATTTGGCACTGATTTAGCAGTCAGATTATGGGTAGTGAGAAACCAGATGCTCCAGTTGGATTCTCTGCCCAGCACCATCCCCGCTAGCAACTGGTATTATAAATGTGCTGTGAGAAAGAAAAAAATCAGCTGCAAAATTTTGACATTTTTCATTTCAGAGCATAATGTAGCCACTTATATTTATTTGAATATATGACTATAGCATGCATTTTAAGAAAAAAACATGATATACTAAAAAAGAATAAAATTAACAAAATATGCAAAGTCATTAAATATCATTGAGCATCATATAAAAATAGATTACTAAAAGGTCACATACCTAATTCTTGAACAGAAAGAGAATATTTTGATGATGTATGTTCTTTCTAAATCAATATATTTTATGTAATTGAAGCCAAATGATATTATTAATAAGTTATTATAATTTTATCTTAACAGGCTTTATTTCTGGTAAAAATAAATAATAACCATGTGAATCTAATGAAGAGAAAATATTGATGAGTTAGCCCTACCATTTATTAAAATGTATATTTAAAATTATTGTGATTTAAAATATTGTGATAAGGAATAAGCATTCAGATTGCCAAACACTGAAAAGTTTGAAATCTTATTCTGTTTACAAACAAATAATGTAATGTATTCTGTTCTATGAATTCTTTTCAGGTAAGATATTCCTAGGTCACAGAAAAGACCTCATTATGAGATAGAAAAGAAAGAAAACCCAACACTTCCTTTTTGCCTCTGACAGTCAGAAGAGAATGACTCTACTGATAGCTGTCACTCACCCACCTTTGGTTTGCCTTTGGCCTCCTCTAGGCTACCCTGGGGGAAAAAACCCACAGTCTTTCTAGCCTTTCTAACCTCTGGGTTGCTTTTTTGGCTGCTGTCTAAGCTGTACTAATTTGAGCCATACCTAAGCTGACAGTCACAACACCCCACCCCCAACTTTGGGCTGCTCAAGTACTGCTGCGAAGGCTTCTCCAAGAGTTAGCTGGAATGGCTCCTCTGCCAGGACAAAGATCAGAGAGGGATCAGCCTTACTGCTATCTTCAAAGGTCTCATATCCGAGTTGTCTGTTATCAATGCCCTCTGGTTTCCTAGAACACTCTTAAAAGTGGCAGCAGTCATTTCATGATGCCATTTCCATAAAATTCAGTAGACATAATGAAGTAGTTACTTCTGCCCAGGGAGTCCCAATAGGTTGTCTCCATAACAGCTGGAAGGTCCTTCCTGCCCCAGTGCAGCTCCAGGACAGATCTGCCTTAGCCACAGCAGACTTGAAATATAATTTTTTTTCCTTCAAAATTTTGCCTAATTTTATTATTTTTAATACAATTTATTGGTGCATTTTAGATATAATGATTACGTTCATCATAGGAAATTTGTACCAGTACATGATATATTAGTTTCTCTCTTTTTTTCCCATTCTCTACCTTCTCTTTTACTTCTCTTCCTCTCATTTACAAAGTTTCATTTACCTTTTATCTTTTTTGTCTTATTTTTCTTTTCTCTTCTACTTCCCCCCATCACTTCTCCTTTCCTTTTGAAAAATTACTTCCTATTTTACAATACCTGTTCTACATTTTGGTTCTTATTTATGCTTTCAAATAGAAAGAATGTGAGACTTACACATACGTATCAAATCGATTTCACTTAAAAGTGTGGTCTTAAGGTTCATCTATTTAGCTATAAATGTTCAAATTTATGCTTGTTTATGACTGAGTATAGAAAGGTTTCTGCCCTAGTATAAGTTACTGGACATTATGGCAGTGGTCTAACATGGCAGAAGGACAAAGCAAAAACACTTACCCTTACAACTGCTTCTTCCTCCTTCCCCTTCAACGCTGATTACAACTTCCTCTTTCCTTCCCTGTGTAAAAGAAGGGAATGCCAATCAGTTCCTCATGTGTCATCAATGCTCACCCCAAGAGTTGCTTCCAGTCAGAGTCATAAAACCTCCTGCCATGTTTGTCTCTGGCAGAAGAGAATGCCTAATCTCAGCAGTAGTGTGCTCCTCTCCACATCCTCAGTAAAGGCCACTTTTTCTTTCCTTTTGCTTCTCTATTGCACAAGAAAGTCTAACAAGTAATTTTCCTTGTACTAAAAAATCCCACATTTTTTATACATTCATTTATACATTAATGAGCATTTGGACTATTTCTTTTCTTTAAATTTTATTTAAGGAGAAAAGAAAAAAAAAGCAGGGAAAGGGTACAAGTTATACAGATTTACAGAAAAAAATGAACAGTAGGAAATCACTAGTTAATGGATTACATATTGTCATCTTAGACATAATTGTTTAAGTCACAAAATTAAAGCTTGTAAAGTGGACATTCCATCAATGATACTGCAAACAGTTCTGTTCATTGATCCAATAGAACTCTGTGATATCATTTTCTATCTTATACACTTAAATATACATGCAGTTATATAGTTTGGAGCACTTTCTTTTCCTCTCTTTTGTACCATGACTATTACACATTTTGGGTTTCATTGCTCCCACGGTTCTTATTACCTTTTTGGAAGAGAGTAAAACCAAATGTGACATAACAGAACAGAATCGTTCAAGTCAAAATGGTGGACATAATAGATAATGCAAAAACATAATACAAGGTGATCAACAATGGTTACCATAATGCCTCCCGCTATCTCTAATAGAATTGCCTATATCGTTAGTTATAATACAATTGAACAAAACAGTAAAGAATAAAACTGACAAAACCAAAACATTGGAGACATTGTAGGTCTTCAAAAGTAGATAAAAGTCAACAAGAATGGGCGTCATAATGAATCTCATTATCTTTACAGCTGATGCCTAAACTTTCGAACCTGATACTATCCAGCAAAACAGAATAGGGGAACATCAGTTAAAAACCAGATGGTGAGCGTAATACAGGGCTTTAAATCAAGGTAATGAAAAGTCAAAGTGGGTTACTATAATATATCCTGCTATTTTTTTCCTTTAATTAAAAGGATAAAGATAAAAAAGTAAATAATGGAGATTGAGATAAAAGAGGGCATAACAACGAAACAGCGCAGATCAAAACATAACCATGTAAGCAGAATAGTGTTTCACCACCAGATAATCCTAACCTAAAAGTAGTTACCATATTGTCTCTTTCTTTGAAATCCTTGAGTACAACTTCGTATATTGTAGCATTAAGTATATCAAAACAATGTAAAACCATTCAAGAGAATGACAGCATTACAGAGTATTTAGAATCGACTAACAGAAAATGAACAATGGTTTCCGTATAATCTCCTTGTCTTTAAGAGGTTTTTGCTTATACTATCGTACATAATAAAATCCAATAAGATACAGCCTATTTAGACCATTGGAGACAGAAGGACAAAAGCTAGATGAGACTTCAAAACAAGATGATACTAAATCAGTATTACCTATTAAGATGTCATTTTCTCCAAAATAGCTTTCTAAGAAATAGACTATATACCAGCCCATAGAACATGATTTAGTAAGTGTAAAAGAACTCAAATTGCCCCATGCATATTTTTAGATTACATGCAGTGAAATTGAAGGTCAATGGCAAATGAAAACACAAAACTACATAAACACATGGAAATTAAATGACACCCTCCTGAACAACCAATGGGAGATGGATGAAATTGAAGAAGAAAGTAAACAGTATCTACAGCTAAATGATAATGCCAATACAGCATACCAAAACATATGAGATGCAATAAAAGTAATCATAAGAAGGAATTAATAGCGGTGAAATATTATATCAGGAAAATAGAGCAAGCTCAAATACACAACCTAATATTGAAACTCAAACTTCTATCAAGTCCAATGCTCATACCAGGGTGAAAATTATAAAGGTCAGAGCAAAATTTAATGAAATTGAGACTAAGAAAACCTTACAAAAGATAAATGAATCAAAGAGTTGGTTGTTAGAAAGATTAAATTGATAAACACTTAGCAAAGCTTATCAGAAAAAGAAAGAAAAGGCTCAAAGTTATGCAACTAGAAATGTAAAGGGTGAAATCACAATGAATCCTGTTGAAATCCAAATGATCATAATTACCTACTTTGAGAACCTTTACCCCAAATGGAAACATAGAGGAAATGGACAGATTCCTAGATACATATGTACTATCAAATTTGAAGATATAAAAATTCCAAATAACCTATTATCAGTCAATGAAATTAAAAATGTAATTAAAAACTTACCAACAAAGAAAAGCCCAAGAACAGATATATTCATTGCTAAATTCTACAAGAAATTTAGATGACATCTAACGCCACTACTCGTCAAACTCTTTAATCAAATTGTGTAGGGAGCGGTTTTGAATAGCTGCTGCTGCCCTGCCCCTCCTGCCTGAGGGCATTTTGTGTGTCAGCCTACATTTCCCATGATCCTCCCCTTGCCTGCAATGCACATGACAAACAAACTTCCTATTTCAGCCTGCCTACATTACCCATAATCCTCTCCTGCTTACATCATATATCCGGATATGATGATGACCTATCAGATTAAGCCTTCTTCCTGCCTATGGCCCGCCCCCCACCCTATATAAGTTGTAGCCATTTTAAAAATAAATGAGACTCGATTGGAATCTCATCCTGTCTCCATCTCTCTTTTCTCTTGTCCTGCCCCCATCCCCGATCCCCTCTCCAGGTTGAGACCCATAGATTGATCCGCAGGCCGGATCAAAATTGAAAGGAAAACAGTTCTCCCAAATTCATCTCTGGAAGCAAGTATTGCCCTGATACTGAAACCAGAGAAAGACTCAATAAAAAGAGAACTACAAGTTCCCTAATGAACGTAAATGCAAAAGTCCTCAATAACATACTGGCAAACAAGTAGGATTCATCTCAAGGATTCAAGGATGGTTCCATATAAGCAAATCAATAGCTGCAATACACCATGTCAACAGAACCAAGGTCAAAAATCATACAATCATCTCAATATATACAGAAAAAGTGCATGACAAAGTCCCACATCCATTCATGATAAAAGAAACCTATAGATAACTGGAATCAATGGTGTATATCTCAATCTGGATAAAATTCATCTATGACAAACCAACAGCCAACATCACACTAAATATTCAAAATTTGAAACACAGACCTATCCCAGATCATTCTATCAGTCAGGTACTTCTAGTGACTCCACCCTAGAATGACATGATGAATCTGTTCCATCTGTCATCATTCCAAAAGTCCTCAAACAGGTCTGCATAAAGCAAAAAAAAAAAAAGTACTTGCAAAAGTTTCTCCTGCTCTATTTGAGTAGCATTTCCACACACTCCTCAAAATGCTTCATGAGAGCTCCCTACTAAGCCCTAACACCCTGTGTTGCACCATAGTACTAATAATGGCCTCATCCAGGTGGTTCTATTGTGTATTCATAACTTTTATCTTGTGTCTTGTGGGCTTAGTGATCTTAAATAAAAGGAACTGATAACACTAGAATTTACTAGGACTGACATGTTCCAGGCTGGCATCAGAGACCCTGGAGACCAGAAACAGTATCTAGCATCAACCAGCATTGACTGACAGTGACTCATGGTGACTAGTGGCAACTAGTGGAGACTGACATAGTTCTGTGTTGCCATGCAGAACCATAACTAAGGCATAGAATCTGCCAGAAGAGCTGCAGATAACTGAAAATGGTGCTACAAGCCTTTGTTCTTGGGGAGCTCAAAGGAGTGGAGCTTGATGCTATCATCTGTATACTAAGTGTCTATTGGCACTGGTGCTCAAATTTTGGCTGGTGATGTCAGAGGTGCTATACTTTGCAGACTTCTGATAAAAAGTACTCTCATCCCATTACTGACAATTACAAGACAGCAAGCAACATGAACATTAACCTGTAGGCTGTGGTTACACTCACCTAAAATTCTACCAGTATTGTAAAAAAGGAAACCCTATTCCAGGATAGAAAGAATCAATATAATCAAAGTAATTGTAGTTCTAAAAGTGACACATAAACTTAATTCAATTAATATCAAAATACTAACAGTCTTCCTCATAGAGTTAGAGAAAATGATCTCGAAAATCATTTGGTACCAGAACAGATTCAAAATAGCCAAACTAACACTGGATAACAAAACCAAAACAGAAGGTATCACAATCCCAGATTTGAAGTTGTACTACCATGCTTAAAACAGCATGGTACTGGCACAAAAGAGACATGAAGATACTGGTAAAGATTAGAGGAAATAGAAACAACTGTAGGAAAATCTAACTACTTGATATTTGATGAAGAAATCAAAAGCATGCACTGGAGGAAAAATACCGTCTTTAATAAATGGTTCTGGGGGCCGGGAATTTAGCTCAGCGGCATAAGCACCTGCCTTGCAAGCAGGCAGTCGTGAGTTCAATCCCTGGTACCGATAAAAAGGAAAAAGACAAAATAAATAAATAAATAAATAAATAAATGGTTCTGGGAAAATCAAATATCCATGTGAAGAAGATTAATCCTAGACTTATATATATCTCACCTTATACTCAAGTAAAATCAAAATGATCAGAGACATAAACATTGTATGGTTTATATCTATATGTCTCATCAAAGCCTCATGTGCTTGTAAGTGGATCTGAGCTTCATGTGCTCATAAGTGGGGAAGTGATTGGATCATGGGTTACGATACTTAATAAGTGGATTAGTCTTCTGATGAATCTATAGCTAAATGTGATTTGAGAGGTGAACCTTGATTGAAGGAGTTTAGTGTGTAGCCTAAAAGTGTATAGCTCATTTCTTCCTTCCTTGATCTGTTTCTCTTTGCTTTGCAGTCATGCATAAGCAACAATCTTCTCTGCCTCTCAGCCAAACACCCTGTGTTCGAATCAGCCTGTATGGACTGAGACATCTACAGACTGTGAAAAAAAAAAAAAAAAAAAACACT